TGTTACCCCAAGATTTTAGTTTCAGATAACGAAAACGGCAGGTCTTCAGCATCTTCCAGTGCAAAGTTATTACACATACAGTGACTGGCCTTCTTTTTTGAAATGGATAGTAGGTAAATGAACCCTACTATCGTCTATAAAAACAGAAAGTCTTTATATCCGTCACGATCTCCTAGTAAATTCTTTTACGAACTCCATGTCAATGTAATTCCATTCTTGCGGTCTTTTTCTGTAAAAAGTACCCTTAGGTTTACACTACGAACATCCGACCTTCTTCATTACGATCTCCGGGCGCTACATCAGATACAGCAAGGAGCATTCTTTCCCGAACATCCGGTCAAACCATTACGATTTTCCCACTTTTTCATTACGATCTCCCGTACAAAAATGTTTACGAACTACCCTCATAAATCTTTTAATGATAAAAATTCATTTCCGAATACCCGGATACATGTCCGGAGTTCGGGATGACTTAAGATGGAAGCTAGGCCACCCGAATACAACCCTATCTGCGCCTGTAATAAGTTCTGACACCATTAAAGACTTCAAAACGCGTTTGCACCAACATCTGCAAATATGACGGAGATAGTGTAAAGGTGGCAAAAGTCTTATAGGTGCTAAGCACCGTTTTTTGCTTTCCTGGCAATATGGTTTGTCTTGTTTTCATGTTAATGTTTTTGCTGAAAATTTTAACGTAACATGTCTTGAATTAGTTACTAAAATAATAAAACAAAAACTAAAACTTCAAATATAGCAGTATAGAAAGTATAAAAAGAACAAGATAAGCAATCATTTTTTGTATTCCTGAATTGTTGTAACTTATCTTCAAACAAACTCAAAATATAGTGTAATTCGACTTCTCAAGGGTTGCGTGCGTCAGTCAAAATAAACGTGATGTTTTTTTAAACACATCTGACATGTACTTCTCGATCAGGTTGTATTGCTTTCTTTTCATAAGAGAGTAACATAATAGCATCAGAATGATCGCTCAGGCTGCACACAATGTCAGAATCATCAAACTTCATAAAGTAATCCGTATTTAACTTGATCTGCTATTCTCTTGATGACTCAATATCAATAACGGAAAACATGCAGATAGTTTGGTATTGACAAAGTTTAGTCTTACGGTTTATTTAATGAAGGCGTTCGAAAGAGATGAATGAACTCAATAATTGATAAATAATTAAATAAATAAATTTCGTTTTGCGTTTATATTTATTGTATTAGGAGAGGTCTTTCCATTTAGGTTCGGTTAAAACTTTGTCATATTGTACAGGACACTTACTTGTAATATTTTCTGCCAATTTTACGACAGACGGTCTTACGGCACAATGTGCTTAAAATTTAAATAGAACTTTTACTTTTTCGTTTGAAACCTTGGTTTTGTAACATATCGATAGAGAGCGCTTTCACATATGGAATCGAATTGAAGTGTCAAAAATAGAAAAAATTCTGGATGTGGGGAGTCTACCAACATTTTCATTTTTCTTCATGGATAGATAGCCCAAAGTGTCCTGTTCAAAACGGTAGTCGAGCGAGACCTTAACTTTCAGTGATTCGGGTGTGGTATCGGACTTCCTTGAAGCCTCAGGGCTCACTTAAAAAACATCAAAGCGGCATGAAAACTTTAGGATGTGCTTAATTGCCTGCTTAACAGGATTGTACGATCGAAAAACTTGAAAAACCACGTTACTAATCAAAGGTTTTCTGAAAAACCTTTCGGACAACCGCAGGAATTTTGAGTATTTTTCTTTACCAAATTTCTTTTAAGTAGGATATAGAATAGCCTAAATACCGTAAATCTCGATTGTTTTCAACTCGTTCTCATGCTTTTTGACTGAGTTATGAACTTTTTAATATCACGTGAAAACAGCATAGAAACTCCACCTTCATAAAACTCAATTTTAACCTAGTTTTTCGAGTCTTTTTCAAAAATAAATATTGTCATCAAGTTCAGCATGGTCGATTGCGTCAGTTCTATGCGATTTCAAGACTGCCTAAAGTTATCGAATACCAATCCCGGGACTCCAAGAAAGTCCGATACCACGTCCGAACCACTGCAAATCAAGGTCTCGTCTGACTCGAACACGACACTTTGGGCTATCCATTCATGAAGAAAAATGAAAATGTTTCTACCTGAAGTTTTTGAGCTATGAGCTGGTTTTCCAAAGATCGACTTTAAAAAAAAGTTTTAAATTAATGTCTGTTACACAAAGATACCTCAAAGTCGCTTCTTCTGGATGATCACAACGCGAATTCTGTAGCTCTTTCGTTCTTGTGTTATTCAACAGACAGTTGCAGGCCTCATAATTTGAAAAGAATAATAGAAATTTTAGCAGGACAAACAGAGAAAATGTTCGTCTAATTTTTCAACATTTTATGCTAGTAATATTCATTCAAGGACACGTTACGAATTCTTTTGAAAAAAGAAATGTCTTGTATTACTTTTATCTAAGGTATTATAACGCATTATACTAAAGTAGAAAACTCCAACGCGTTATAATACATTAGAATCTAACGTATTAAAAGGCAGTAGACAAATCTAATTGAGTTGTAACGAAGTAAAAAATCGAAACGCATTAAAATGCTTTAAATTTATAAAATTGTAATGTAATGGAAATTTTTATCCAGTTATAACGCCATAAATTCCTGAAAAATAACTTTGCAACGCGTTATAACATGCTGGACTACGCCTATCGCGTTGTAATACCATAATTCAAGACAAAGCATGTTTTATAGCGTTCTAACAGGGAAAAAGAGATCTCGTGGGTAGTGTTGAGTTCTCGACTCAAAAAATGTAATTGTTCTTGTTCTTATCTATCTTCATAAATCATTTATCAATTGTCTGTCTTTCTATTAATTTCTCGAATAGTTCTGATTCTTTTTTTCACAATAAGGTCTTATCATATTCGCGCAGTAATGAATACTAAAACGAGTGTAACGTGTGGGTATTATCACATCTGCTTGTTGTAGACTACACGATGGATGTGATATGCCTACTTTCATTTTATTTTAATGTCTTGATAACAATATATGTTGCGCTACTAAAGTGCTACTACATGAAATAAAATTTAGCACTTTTAAATCATCTTCTCAAATATGCTCCTTACCTATCGAGAGTAACTGTATATGTATCTTGTATCGAAATTGATTTGTCTCTCTCATTCACGTACAAGTTTGACAAAAATAATCCATAGATTTCCTTACGCTCAACTATAGTGACGTACGGAGATTTCGAACAAGTGCAGATTAGGAAAAACCTCTTTTCAGGATAAAACAGAACTATATTGAATAAAAAAAAATAGAAATGATTTTAACATCGAAAAATTCTAACTGAAACACACTCAAGGACATTTTCAGCCTCTCACAGAGACGAGAGAGTCTACGCTTCGTGTGAAAAATACAAGGTTACCATTATCTCTCAAATATCTTTTAGAAAGTAGACTAAAATTCTAAACTGATATTTTTCTCTTACTCACCTGAATATTAAAGGTCAAAAAGTAGGTCATAAAATTCTATTTTTTTCTATTTGATTTCTCCATTTATCAACGTGTAGTTCAAAACAAAAGTGATCGAGATGATGTCTTCAACCGAAATACTATTCGTGTTTCAGTAAAAAAGACAACAACAAAAAACAATGCATAAAAACAGTTAGAGATTCAGTTAGTAACTTGTATGTTTTCGACAAGAACAAGATAACAAATATTTCATCAAAATGTAATTACGAAAAAACAGACTTATGTGTTTCATCACATTTAATGCTGATAATTTTTTTTATCAAAAAATACTTTCAACAGTATGTGCATTAAAATCGAAAATTTGTATTTTATATTATTATATTACTGTCTGATCCCATTAGAAAACAGCTCAATGCTATTATTTATCAATATTATTCTGCAGCAGCGCTCTAGTGTTGTTACTGTTCTCTCGATCCTCGAAGAAATGGTATTTCTTTTTCCAGAATGCTCTTGAAATGGATGCACGACGAGAACGGAAAATGTTTTTGAATGACGATTTTAGAAAACATTTTGGCCATGACAAATCACTAACTGATGACGAAAATTGTTTAAATAAAGTATTTATCAATTCAACAGTACAGTGTTTTTCAGATATAATCGATTTGAATTATTTAGCAATAAAATATAAGGTCAAAACTCTACAAGAAAACGTGAGTCTATAATTTCCTTTATTACTGTACTATTTAGTCTTAATGATGGAAAATGTATTCATTGATAATAAAAAGATGAACGCACATCTGATACAATGATCGAAAACTGCTAAAATCTTTTGCAGTTCGTAAGAAAGAACAATAGAGACGGCTATCAAGACGTTAATATAATATGAAAGTAGACATGTCCCGTCCATCTCGTACTATTAAGAGCAGATGTGACAATATGCACATGTTACACTTGTTTTATTTATTTATAAGTAAACGTGACAAGACCCTGTCGTAGAAAAAACAACTATATTTTTACTATTCAAAAGAAAAAAAATATTTAGAATAATAACTTTTTTCTTCACTTTACGCTGAATAGTAAGTACATGGTTTTAGTTTTAACTAGCCATCGCGAAAGAAAGAAGAAAAAACAACTTGTGAGAATTGAAGAAGAAAAAAAAGCAGAACAAACTGGACGAAGGACACATTTATCTCTATTTCGTAGTAGTTTTGTTATAATATGCATTTCGATCAAAAGATAACTGTTCCTTAGAATATATATAAACCAGAGTTCATATCTACATCATTATATTAATACACTGTCGAAAAGTTGATATGTTTAAGTGAACAGTTGTATTTGATAGATGATGTCCAATCATACACAAATATCGAATAGTGAACAATCTAATTTTACGTCGAATTTAAATTCTCATGTTAAAGGCCTAAATGTTGATTATTACTATCATTTGGGTCTGAATAGTACCTTTGATTTAAAATCGAATTTTGGTGATGTTAAATATGTTCTTATGTGTGGAAGTGCAGTAAGAGCGTATGAAATTATTCAGCGCGTTATTCAATCATTAAAAATTCGGCTACCCGTTGGACAAACTTTAGCTCCCATTGGTAAGCGTTATAATTCTAAGTTGTTAATTGTGTTCATTCCTAGTAACTAATCTAAACTATCATATTAAACAGCATACTAAAGGATTTGGATACAAAGTCAAGATGTGTATCAATATCAAAGCTCTTGTTATTTCGTCACGAGAACGTTGAAATTTTAGGTGATCGAAAATAGACTCATTTGTAGTCGGTGATCGTTGTAGGTAAAACAGAGCGATATAGTATGTTCAAAGTTGGTCCTGTTATTTCAATTTCTCATGGTATGGGTAAACCATCAGCATCAATAATGTTGCATGAAATAACAAAATTATTATCAGCTGCCGGTGTCTACGATCCTATTTATATTCGAATTGGTACGAGTGGTGGAGTCGGAATTGAAGGGGGAACAGTGGTAATTGCAAATGGTGTGGTCAATGGTCTTTTAGAGCCTTATCATCCCGTAGATGTATTGGGAAAAATAATTAATCGTCCAGCTAAAGTTGATTTAAAGATTGCTAAAGAGATCTACGACTTGAGAGGTGACATACCGGCGATTATGGGTACAACAATGTCAACAGATGATTTTTATGAGGTATATTGTTGATAAATTCTCTTATCTAGATCGTCATATTTTTATCTGCTCTTATTTTTCGTTTCTATTCATTCAAGGGTCAAGCGCGTATCGATGGTGCTATTTGTGATTATGATATGGAAGATAAATTAGAATTTTTAAAACGTGCTTACGATGCAGGTGTTAGAAATATTGAAATGGAAGGAAATTGTTGTGCAGCATTTTGTACTCGCCTAAATATTCATTTTGTTATGGTCTGTGTGGCGTATTTGAATCGTTTGAATGGTGATGGAGTTTCAGCTTCTCCTCAACAGTTAACGCAGTATGAATCAAACGCAATTACACTAGTATTGAGATATATTCAAAAGAAAATGGGATTAGAGCCAACATGTGATTCTCAAGGTGAATTTAGTATACCACATGCACTGCATTCAAAGCCATTGGATACAGCGATAATTAATAGTGGAATAGAACAAATACTAACGGAAGAAGAAAAAGTTGCTAAATAATACATCGTTACTACGCATCGTTTTCTCGCCATTCAGATATACTTCTAAATTTGACTTCAGTATGCTTTTTAGTAGACGGCTAGTTTTTGCAAACATGTTTTAGTGTGTTTTTAATTTTCAAGAGAAAGCTTCACCCGAATTGCTTCCATAAACAATGAAACACTATAGATCATTTTTCTCAATCCTCAATTTAACAAAAAACTAAAACCTAATTCAAAAATCAGCGTCGATAAATCCAGGTAGTTTCTTTTCCTCTTTTAAGCAAAATTATTATTAAATAAAATAAATATCAAATATGTAAACTACTACTGCTGCAAAAATTTTCCGTCCCAATTTTTTTTTGTTTTAACCATAGCTCAGCAGAGGAGTGATCTTTCAAGAATCGGTTTTCACCAAAATATTGCCAATTCTTCCGAGTATGGTTGTCGGAAAAAAATTTTAAAATATTTTTTATTCTTGTCTGTAGGCCGACATCAATGATCGGGTATCTTTCGAAGAGCTGCAAAAATTTTCCGTACGATCAATGGAATTGATTTTTTGGTCCATCAAGGAAGTTTAAAGCTATGAAAACTTACCAGCAAAAGCGGAGAAGATAACGAACACTTTGGTAAAAAAGCTTTCTTGGGGCCTGCAGACTGATTTTAAGGTAAAACTGACATAGTCAACATGTAAAATTGTCGGACGACTTGAGAAATCAAGTGGAGACGAATCAACGCTAAATCTTTCTATTAGACCTTATATTCATCACATGTCTGTAAGATAGTGATGTTGTGGTGGAATTGAAGTACTGTGAAAGTTCAGTACCTAATCTAAAGTTCGTTCATTGACAGCGTCCTGCGACCAGTTATTTTATTACCGAAATAGTTTTTCTCTTTATTGGCGACAGATGTATACAATTGATACTTAAGCAATAGTAAAGCAAACATATCGCTTAAACAATGCAGCTAGCAACCAGTAGTAAAGCCTCACGATTCACATCTGGTCTGCAAGATACACGCAAAATAGAAAACTGCAATACTGATTGCAAGTTTCTATTTAGGATTTATAAAATTTACTTTTGGCCATGAGTAGTGTAGAAGTCAAAAATCTAATTAGACTTTTTACACATTTTAGACTTTTTCCAAGCCTTTTAACTTTCTTAGACTTTTAAACTTACGCATTTATCAAATATTTAGTGGTGGCTAGCATTAAAGTGATTACTGGCAGTCGACTTTTGCAGCACACTGCGACTTTTTTTTAAATTAGGGAGAGAAGATAACAATAGGTTACGAGAGAGTATTGCACTGGTGGTTGCTGTTGGTGGATGCACCGGGGCATTTGGCCTTATAGTGCGAGTTACCGAATTGCTGCAGAACAAAAGCAAGGGAGTACTCTTATCGAAACCATGGGGTTTACAGTATGGCCTGCCCTCCTGTCGTTTTGTTTGTATAGTACAATAAACGAAGAGAACTATGTCAGTCTGGAATGTTCTCCTATTCCCACCAAATGCTTTGAGGTATGACTTTGCTTTCCAACCACCTTTTAGAAAACCCAGACAGCACTTCCGAAGTGAGCTGCCCTACAAAACCAGCTCACTACTTTTGCCTGGCGAACACCTACAGTCACTCCGTATTTACATGAGCGAACTACCCAGAATTGTATCAAAAGATCAAATGACTGACATGTATGTCAGGCAACACAGACTATCAATGCAATATTCTCTCGTAACTCACACTCATCCTACCCTCCCCCCAAAGTTCAAATGTGGAATTCCAGCAGTGACCTCCAAGATAGTCGTCGCTATAAACCTGATAAATGTGATGACCTAAAAAGTGTAAGTCTAAGAAGTCTAAAAGTCTAACATAAGCTATGAAATTGAACTTACTTTTAGACTTTTGACTTCTACATGTATGTTGACCATTAGTATATACTATGGGTTTATCCGATACTTAATCAGCATGAAAAACAACGACGCTACAGTGAAACTATGTGGTATGTCTACTACTATCTATTTGAAATTAAAATGCACACCACTATTTTTGAATAATGTGACATTGAATGTTAGCCATTCGATTGCAAAGACAGAGACACGTGATTTTGCGAGAAAAAGTTTCAAAATCCTGTGTAAAGGTTGATTTTGAAAGGAGTCACTGAAAAACCAGAGTTGTCGTGTAAATATTTTCAGTTTTAGTTTATAGAGACCAAAACATCACCTTCATAGGAAACTGAGCACTCGCTTACGTTTTTTTTATCAGACGTCGTATCGAGTTTGCTGAGAACTCCAAGATCCATATTTCTTTAACCTGTAGAAGCACTTTCAATCGATTTTGACTGAGATGTGACTTTTGATTTTCAATGATAACAGCGTATTACAGGTTATTTCACCTATGTCTCTTTGTGCTTCCTTTCAATCATTATTTGAAAGACAATAATGTGCTGTTTAATTCTGAATGAATACTAGTCATTTTAAAGAAAATACAAGGGTCAAAGCAAAGCAGTTTAGAAAGACCAAATGTTTATGTCTGCATCGATTTTTTTCTCCAGAACGCACGACTGTTTGAGAGTTACACAACTACAATCCTTAGAAAAACTTCCTTTTCAATAGAAAAATGAAAATTTTCAAACAGGAGTGAGGCGTGCGCTGGAATAAAAACTTTATTCTGCAGTTTCTCTAATATTGTTAAACACTGTTAGAAACACCAGCAACGTTAGACATTATGTATCTGCTGTAGCTTGAATACCTTAACGATTCTATAAATTTTTCCTTTAGTCAGCGTTTCCCTATTATAAATACGCTTTTTCATTACTATTTTTTAAAGACTAGAAACTAATCGTGGATTACACTGCCTTGTTAAAATCTCTTTGATGAAATCAGCAACAATTAATGGTGCTTCCATAGGTATAAAATGCGATATGTCGTCTAATTGTGTGTCGCGTCCATTTTTAAAATATGAAACTAAATCAGGCGATGTAAATGATGTATCCCATCTACCGGGTTGGTAAGAGAAACCAGAGCGTACGATATGAACGGGTATTTCAATCTGACATAATTTGTCGTAAATATTCATCTCTTTTGCCATAGCACTGAGATAAAACGAACGTCCAGTGTCCAAGTCGCATGACAGAACAACGCCAGAATCGCTCGGTAATATTCCATATGTACAATAATCACGTAAAATAGACGGTAACCATTTTCGAAATATTGGCCTATCCTTAAAGTAGTCAAACATGTCATCAACAGATTTCCATGTATTAGGTCGTCGTTGTTCTCTATTAGTCAATGATGCTGGTTGAATTACCGTTTTTCCTTCTAGTACTGATTTAGGAAAAAGTGCTGGATCCAATAATAATAAATTAGAAAAAGCAGTCGGTTTTAAGATAGCGGCAGTTGCCATTGCTGTACCGCCCATGGAATGTCCTACACCAATCGCGTTCTTTATACCAAGTACTTCAATTAGTTCAACTAAATCTTCACTAGCCGTACGAAATGTATATGGTGGTAATTGACTGCTGTAACCATGGCCACGAAAATCGAATGTGATAATACGTTGATCAGCAGGCAAATTCGCGATTATTTTATCGAAACAACGAGCATGGTTTGATGTACCATGACAGAAAAGAATAACAGGCGATTTGCCTGACCATTCCCAAACATTTAATTCTAGAGAACCCAATAAACCTTCTTTATTTATAGGACGATTGTTTAATGTTATGCGGTGTTGCTTAGGAGTACGACCGGTTGTTTGACTATGAATCATCCTTAAAATGCACTTTGTCAAATAATTTTGGTATTGCTCAATGACATCTAAAACAAGTAAAAAATATATAAATAAGGTCAAGCTTCTTATTTGACGCACAGTTAAGATTCTCAGCATTTTTTTAGTACTGAACGAGGTGTCGGAGCATGTAAAGGAAAGAAAAACACCCATCAAATATCATGTAAACTTCAACTTTTTGGATCTTTTACACATTTTTCATACACATTAACATCTGGGCTTAACAGAGTTTTGATAAAAGCAGCGTAACTCTGTTTCAGCAGAAAGACTAAGGAAAATTCAAGACGTGAAAACAGGATAGCAATTTTTTATTTCATAAAAGGTATAACTGCGATGAATTTAAATTGAAGAAACAATGGAATTAGCACACGTCTGGTTACACTAACTGAATAAATTCCATAGAATGAGATATTTAATTTATTATCTTCTTTCAAGATGGCCTTATATATCCGTCTTTTTTATCTTAGCCATAAATAGTAAGGAGCCAGAAACTGACGTACTCTGTCATTGGAGTTACAATTTGAAGCTAAAAGGAAACAACATACATTTATCACCTTTTATTTACTGCCCGACTCGTACTGATCTCTGATACACACTGTAAATCGTGACAGTCGTCTTAGCGACGTATAGTCAGTCACTGCAAATCGCTTTAGCTACTGACGCAAGCGTGTAAGTCACCTTTCAGACGAGCAGCGACTGAGCATATTTCTCATTCGGAAAAGCGACTGCTACTTTTCTGTTGAGACGAGAAGAATCTTCGAAATATAGAAAAAACCTCCTTTCGTTCGAGAACTTGGCTCAGTCGTTAGAAGAATAAGTCTCACCATTTAAATTTTAAATGTCTATTGTTTTGAAAATAAGTTACGTCGCTAGTAGCTCGGCCTATGCACTTGTGAATCTCGTTGACTACGTATCCTTTCTCCGATTAGAGCATTTCCGCATTTCAGGCTTGCAAACAATACGAAGAGTGCTCAAAGTCAGAGTAAAAATATGAATTTTTATACTTCTTATAGGTTTCTGACATGAAAAAGTGTCTGGTAGACATTTAGTTGCAAAAGATGACCGGTACGCATGCCAGACACTTTTTCGATTGAAAGCTGTCAGTTCAGTGACTGACATACCGTCTAAGAGAAAATCTATTAGACACCGTTTGTCCGTGGAGTTTTATGAAAAGGAATACTGTTTAGACAAAACTGTAATTATCGTTAAAAGGGAAGATAGTACTGAGGCCACAGTTCCAGTAAACGACCAATTCCACTAAGATGGCAGTAAATGGTTTTCTCAACAATTATCCAGTTTCGAAAACTAATTTTACCATCAACTGACGGCTAGTCATAGAAACTCTTATTTTACAAAGTTTCCTTTTTGATGATTGCTCGTAAAAAAGTTACCACACAAATAGATCATCCCACGAATAATTGTTCTAAAGCAGTAGTTAACGTAATTATATAATAATGCCTGATAAATCTCTGTTGAAACGATTCATTGTTGAAGCGTTTAATGCACTATGATATTTCTTTCATAAATCATCAAGCAGTATTCTGTTAGAATTTTTTTCATGTAAATTTTCGACTATATCGAAATGTGGATCTTTTAATCTTTTATTCTGGTAAAATTAATTATGCGTTTAAAATAAGCACACGAGTATCATAATCAACAGTGCATTTACTTGTATTTTATTGCCTGTAGTAGACATCCCAGACTGACTTAATTTGTTGATATTTTCCACTCGGTTTATATTCATGTTCATAGCCAAACGCTTTAGGTCCAACATGTTTCAATGCTTTCTCACTTGCCATCAGTGGCGATGAAGGAAGGACTAAAACCGCTACACGACAACCATATTTGATGTTCTCGGTTGAATATGCTTCACCCGTTTCACAATCTAATATCGTTATCAGATCTGGAACACTTGCAACTATTTCTTGCTTTTCTTCAGAATAAGCCACCAAATTTTCGTTTTGAAATTGAATAATCAAGTTTTGCTCTCGTGAAAGGGAAAGAATTGTTAGTTTTCCACGAGCAAAACCACCTGATGTATGACGCTCAACATTCACAACTTTCCCTTCATTTAAAATTAACCAACCGTTACCAATTTGAGTAACAGATTGAATGATTGACGCTTTATTATTGAATTTTGCCCAACCTAAACAAAAAATTGAAAAGAATATAGATACTGTTACATACGATTCTGCTAGATTGTGTAGCGACGATCGTACGAACTCTTGCTCTCTGCACAACAGCTTACAACGCTTGCGTTATCGTATGAGAGCAGTTATCTAACAAAAGTTATGAAAATGGTACAATATCATGCTTTATAAAACTCTCTTAGGTCTAGTTGCTTAAGTACTTCTACTTTTACACTATCTGAATTACACGCGATCCTAAAAACTCACGTGTAACAGTGATACGCGAAGTAAACTTTACCGAAAAACCAACATAAGGATAGTGTATTGTGAATAGTCCATTTCTGTAGTTGTTTTCCGTTCATTGGTGGCATGCACGCTCCGCTCGTTAAACCCATATTTGTACAAGTTGAGCGCATAAACTTTTCCAATTGTCCACTACTTGTTATACAGTCATACAGTACACAATTTCCTTTTTCATCTGACAAACACGTTGGATAGCATGGCTGACCTTCTATAAACGATAAAATATGATCCATTTGCGGGAACGCTCGACCCATTCCATCACAATCGATGCAGGGTAAACCAAGTTCTGATGCTACTAACAGACCACACAATCCATTTGAACCACCGATCTCACCACTGTAAAGAGCAGTTACCTTGGTATTTAAATACTTTTCAATCACTTTAACCGCATTAACACATTCCTTTCCATTTGGTAATTGTTCAATCAATACAGTAGGCGCACCTACGAAGCCAACATCAGCCGCAATATCGTTTTCTCCCAGTATTTTTGGATCAATAACACGCATTACTTTATGAGAACTTAAAGCCTGTAAACATGCAAGTTTATTGTGATATGATTCTCCACCGCCGCCTGTACCTAGAAATATACTAATACTCAACCACATACAACTGGTTAGACAGGATGAATTTGCGCACCTAGACTGGTTTGCTTAGCATGCCCATAGTACACCTGGCCTGCACTCAAAACTTCGCCACAGACATATTTCTAGATGCTCTTTCTACTAATACCTTCAAAATATCAAAATAATAAATTCAAGTGTAATAGGTTTCTAGAGACCCCCTCAAAAACTAACGGATTTCAGAAACATAATTTCGCACTTTTGACCACTAGGAATTGCAGCCCATCTAAAGTTGTATCTCTCCTGCAATATCCATGCGGAAAACGTTTTGTCTGATCGAATACGAAACAAAATAGTGGAGGGCATCTAGATGCTATAGTGGTTTTTCATGATTTGACAAAGGTTTACCTTCTCACACGAGAGGTACAGGAGGGTGAGAATTTCAGAAGAGATAAAATTTCAAATGGGCTACAATTCCTGGTGGTCAAAAGTGCCAAATTATGTTTCTGAAATCCGTTAGTTTTGAAGGGGTCTCTAGAAACTTATCATACTTGGATTTATTATTTTGATATTTTGAAGGTATTAGTAGAAAGAGCATCTAGAAATATGTCTGTGGCGAAGTTTTGAGTGTCATCAAATAATATTTAGAGGAGATATGCGTATTGGGCTTCTAAGATATTCATAAGGTTCATGGTGGCTCCTAACCAAAGAGCCGGTTTTGGCATCTTTGCTCACTCAAAACTAAAACTCAAAACTAAAACTGAAATAGTGTATCGTATAGCCGCAGGTGAGTTCTACAAAACGGCATATTTAGACTGGTAAAGCAAGCGAGCTTTGGAGCTGGCAGGGCCAAAGTATAGGATCGACTGTATGATCCATCCTTGCAATCAGGTAAATGCCCAGCAAAGTCACCCATAAGACCGTCTGAAAATTTCTAGTGTTAATCTCTTTTTGCTACTACGCGTTTTGTGCTTACAAGATATCATCGTCATTTTTTGAGCTATAGATTTTGGATTGGTTTCAAAAAATAGAGAAATGCTTTTTCTATGTCATGGCATCGTTGGATTTTTCAACTTAAGTTCCGTTTAGGAGAAATTTAAAACGTTAATTTAAAAAGTCATTTTACTTGCTTTTCGGAAACTTTTTAAGTTTCTCCTAATCTAAACTTAAATTGAAAAATCCAACGATGTCATGACATAGAAAAAGCATTTTTCTATTTTTTGAAATCAATCCGAAATTTCTAGCTCGAAAACTGACTGACGAGGAAACATATCCAACTGTCAAATCGCTTTCGAGCCGAAACCTAGTGGACT